GCTTTCAGACAATTCCAGCAGTGTTTGGGGTCATTTCCCTCAAAGCTTGGAAAACTGCTGTGTCTTTGGTATTGATCCACACCCCATCAGCTGAGACAAGCCCCCCACATAGCGCACCTTCTCCATAACCCATACTTAGTAGGCCTGAGTTTGACGCTGTAATGTTGAAGAGCCCTCAGGACCAGGCTCAATCCCTTCACATGTTCCTCGAAGGATTTGTTGTAGAGGAGTATGTAATTCAGATAAAGTATGCAGAATTTTCCCGTAGAGAGCAAAACACCTCCTCCATACATCTCTGAAATGAGGCTGTGGCATTTGAGATGCCAACCCACTCATAAAAGTGGCTAAATGTAACCCTGGTGATATGCTTTCCTTTATTCCAATATAGACAACCGGCAGTGTCCTCCAAGTGTATTCACTGGGCCTGGGAAACGCGGGAGTGGGTGTCTGTTAAGGAACAGTCTTACAATTTAGGAGCTGGTAACCTATGCAGAGCCATAAGGTCTCCACCAAAGGGTTGTCCACAAATGGTCTTTCATAGTGGTGTACATCAACAAGGATCTAACTGCATGTATCTAACTGCTCTAGCTGTGGATCATCAATGCAAAGTTCAAACAAGTTACAACAACTTATTGTGGGCAGTCTGACCTGGGTGAACAATTCTTAATTGTTGTCACGTTTGTTAGCTTTTTTCTCTGCCTAGATGTCCTTTACAACCGCCTCAGTTTTCTCTGTCTTGATTTGCATGCATTTTGTTCAGCGCAGGACGGACAACAAAGTATTCTCTCCTTCCTCTGTGGTCGTTGTTCTGTCTGATAACTGGCGCAGTTGATGGATGCTTGAAGCGTGTATCAGACTGCAACTTAAAAGTTTTAATGATTCCACTGTGTGTTACAGTTCCAACAGAGCAGGCAAAACTTCAACTTGCAATCTTTCTGACCCAAAACACACCATTCACGGCACATTCACCCAAAGGTCCAAAATAACAGAAAACACACTCACTGCCACACCAGCTGTCTCTTGCAGGAGTCATGGCAGGATGGTTGTGACACATAATACCGCATTCCCTAATGCAACTTAGGTCTGGTTACAAAAAGGATCGAAAGCAGGAATTGTGTGACTGGAGAGGTTTTGATACTACTTGGTACTGGGTTATTTCGATTGATACTTAAAAGGTATCGAGTACCGATACCCAGCCCTAGTTGCTGAGCCCTGCACAGAATATTTTTATAATCTAGTAAAAGAAAAGAACATGACATTACAATGGTGCAAGTTTGAAAACCACAGTCTGTGGTTTATCCACAGATGACAACCTCATACCTGATCATCAAGTTGGTAGAAATATTTCTACAGCTAAAAATAGAGTGTGATTTTTCTAGCTGGGTGTAACAGTAGTGGCAATGTTAGTACTATTAGTGTAGACAGTAGAACAATGCTAATAGTCCTCACAACAGTGGCCTTTTTTACTCAGTAACTGTTGTACAACACTTGAACAAAACAAATCTATGTACACAAGGCATACCAGTGTGCTTGAAGTGTGTCATCTGTTTCAGATCTCGAAGGAAATTCTTGTCCATCACAACTGCTTTGAGAGCCCGGAAAGCAGGTGAATCTACTTTGAGCCTCTTCTTTCTTCTTTGCTGCTCCTCTGTTAAGGCTGAGCCGTGACAGGTGTACTCAAGCCACAAGTTTCCTCCTCACATCTAAGTTAACAGCAACAAAAACTCATCACCAAATAAAAAAAGTTCAAGTTAGATTAGGATGATGTATGTAATGTTATAATCAATGACTTGAAAATTGTATTGCACTTACTCTTGTTGACATGCCAGGTGTCAAATTCGTGGTCATGATTTTCCAGATGGATGACTTTCTGTCTGTCTGTGCTCATAACAGCCATATCCACTCCCATGTACTGACAGTGGTTCAGCCCGCTCTGGAACCCCATGATCTCTATTGCGACAGAGCTGGATGCTTCTGTAACCCAGAGCACAATAATATATTATCAGACATGTCATAGCCACAGTTTTTTGACAACCAATTATCTTGATGAATAAGGTCTCAAACAGATGTGGTATTTTATTATAGACTAGCACTGCACAGTGGATTCAACCAGTGGTGTAGTCTAGTTTTTGTAGTGAGTATACTGTGATTTTTCCCTCCCAGACTCATGCTCAGCTGTCCCAGAGCGACACCCCATAAGCATTCATGTAAATCAGAGCATTCTTATAGAGTGCTTATGTGTTATCAACATTTCAATTTATTATAAGGAACACAAGACTTTAACAGCCAATGCTATTTACAGCTGGTGAGACTGGGCTGATTTTATACTGTTTAGGGTTTATAACCATCTAACTCAGCCAGCTACATTTAGCCTTAGATGTTATATGAATATGGTCCCTGGCTACAGGTTTTATCATCTGGCTATTATTAATGCACATTTAAGAGTGCAAGTTGCATCTATTATGAACAGCTGAGGCTTCTCAGTAGCAGTATTAACAATGAAACTTTTGTGCAGTTCTGTCACCAACACATATTAATTACAGAATATTATGAACTAAACAGTGAGGACACAAAAGGTGGTCCACATCTTCTCAAGCACTCTTACCTTCTAAAACCATTGTCAAACTTGGTTTATGTAGGCTTCTGCATTAGCTTAAATCTATTTATGAATTGTCACCTGTCTGCTGTATTGTTTGTTTCCCTTTATATAAAAAATCATTTCCACTGTAAATTGGACAAGAAAATGTCTCCAGAATGCAGAAAATGAAGTGTTTAATGCTCCACTTTTCTGATGGAATAAGCCCAGACCCAGATTCTCATGCATCTTCTTGTGACTTAAGTGTATCATCACGCCCCTAATCTGAGCACTTATGTCCCCACCACTTTTCAACACAAAGTGACGCCCTTGCTGTTACATCTTTGTGTTGTTTCCAACAACTGGGTTGCCAATGTTCCATATTTCATCGACTTTTATGTTTAGTTTTGTTCTCCTACAGATTCTTCAGATCACTAGTAGATGATACTGTACATGTCAACGCTGTGCCATTTTCACTAATAATTGTACAGCCCATAAATCTTATCCATCCATCCATCGTCAACTACAGGGTCGCGGGGGGCTGGAGCCAATCCCAGCTGACATCGGGCGAAAGGCGGGGTACACCCTGGACAGGTTGGCAGTCCATCGCAGGGCCCCATAAATCTCATACTGTTTTATTTTGTCACTCTTTTGTTTTTTATGGATCTATCAGTGAATGTCCTTTATGACTCTTGAGGCTGTAGCTAAATGTGAGTTTTAGTAAATAGTATGTAAACTTGTAAATATAAATACTAATTGATAAATGTACTGTGAATGAGTCATCACAACATTTATTAGACTATTTAAAATATATCCCAACTAAGACAATTTCAGCAAGATTACTGAAATTATAGGGTTTCTTTCTATTTTATTGATATTCGTTAATATCACACATAATATGACTAATTAGCCATACATGAGAAAACACCTTGTAAAGGATATTATATCTCATTGTCTCATGTTTTAAATGGCTCTATATATGTAATGTATTCAAAAAGTATTTGCTTACATACTTGGTGTGCCACTTTGTTGTCGAGTTGATGTGGTTCCTAAATGCTTCCACTTAATAATAGCAATAATACCACTTATATTTGATTGTGGATTGTGTCTAGGAGGGAAGAAATATCATGAACTGACTTGTTGCAACAGTCAGTACTATTACAGTACCACGCTCGAATTCTGTACGCTCTTTAGAACAACCAATTCTTTCACATATGTTTGTAAAGGCAGACTGGCTAGGTGCTTGATTTTATACACCTGTGGCCATAAGACTGAATGAAACACATGAATTCAGTGATTAAGAGGTGTGTCCCAATACTTTTATCCATATAGTGTATGTTATGTAACTTCAAAATAGTAATATCAGACAATGATTGCCTCTTTTGAGGTGGCAGGAGTGAAAATTAGTGATCCTCAGTATTTGTTGTGTTATGGATTCACAATGAAGACAGTTGGACAACAATTAAATACAAAATCGGAGAGAGGCTCTACAGAATGATATTTTCCCCAAATGATGTACACATTTTTAGGCATTCTATCATCTGAAATTACTTGAAATAGCGCATATACCTGCCATAAATGGAAATAAATCTCCCTGGGGGAGCGCGCCCCTGGACCCCCCTAGATTTGGGCTCAGCACTGACCAATGCTGCATTGGTCAATGCTGCACTGACCAATAGATTTATTCTAACAATGGATCAAATAAGCATGTGTAATGTGAAAGGGGGTTATAAAAATATGTTTGAAATATGTATAAATATGTTTGTGCCATCTCAGCTGTGCATTTCTTATTTACTTTGTGCAGATTAGAAAATCCAGAATTCTGGATTAATCCTTAAAATTCACACCCCCTGATTGCTTATTTATTAAATACCTGCTGCATTTGTTATAGTGATGTTTAAGGTGGCTGTTAACGTTTGTTGTATGCACACCATTGACCTTAATTACGATGGGTTTGTGTGTGACAAATTCTGTTCGTGTTGCCTTAGACACCAGTGTTACAACTGACTGCTAAGTAAACTATAAGTATTTCATCAAATTTAAAATGAAAACTGAATGTGGAATCAACATGGACGATGTGTTGGATTAGCACTATCAGAGCATGTAAACAACACAGACATCTACATGGACAGCAAGCTAAATGCGTAGAGCAGTTTGTCCATTTGGGCTACTGTAGAAACATTGCTGCGCAACATGGCGACGTCAGTGTGAGGGGACCCGTGGTGTATGTAGATAGAAATGGCTCATTCTATCCAACGAAGGTTAAAATCAAGGGCAACTGGACTTGGTTGAAGATACTGGAAGACGTTTCGTCCCTCATCCAAAGGACTTCTTCAGTTCTGATACATGTGACATTCTACAGACATCCCCCCCCCCCTTTGCACTGACAGTGGTACAACTACAAGAAAAAGACTAGTCACATGTATAAGGACTGAACAATATTTTATTCTGTACTTTTCCATAACATCTGTACATTACCAACATTTTCAAGACCTGGAAATGTAATCACTCAGTAAACCAGGCTTTATACAGCCACAGAAGAACCCTGCTTTACGTACAACACAACACAACCAAACAGGGATATGATCACTTCACTTCCACTTCAGGAAGTGTGTTGCAATCAACATTTTGGCAATCACACATATTCTGCTAGGAGCGGCTTCTCATATAACCATTCCTTATCATAATAAAAGAAATAAAACAGAATGCCCTATATTGGTGATGCCAGTTGAATCTTGCTCAACCTAACCCCCGCCAGTGGACCAGGGTTTGATAAAAGGTTTGAATGACAGTTAAGGAAAACTGTGAGAGCAAAAGGCAGAGGCTGGAGGACGATGGAAGGCAGAAAGGAAATACAAGAAGCACAAACAGCCATTCATTTGTCTGACCCCGTTGTCTCATCACAAAGGGACAGTATGCAAAAGTTTAAAGAGTCTGTATTAAGACTTAAAGGAATAGTTCAACATTTTGAGAAATACACTTGAAAGTATGATGTGGTGTAAATATGTGGTTAGGGTTCAGCAGCCAGTCAGCTCAGCACAAAGACTGGAAACAGATAACCTATCCAAAAGTAGCAAAATCCTGCTACCAGCACCTCTAATTCTCACTAACATTTTACATGTATATATAAATCAACATTTTATTTTTTTATAGGGGTTTATGTACCTGAATTTTGTAAAATAGAAAATTAGGGAGCTTTGGAGGTGCTGGTAGGTGGGTTTTGTCACCTTCAGACGGAGACAGACTAGCTGTTTCACAGTGTTTCCAGTCTTTGTTCTAAGCTAACTGCCTGCGACTTCAGATCTAACATACAGACATAAGAGGGATTTTTGATTAGATGATGTTCTCATCTAACTCTCTGCAAAGTAAATATGCTTATTTTCAACTCTCTCTCAAAACAACACTAACATCCTGTATGTACTTTGGATTATGGATTATGAATTGGGTACTGGTTACTCAGTACAATCATTCCTCCTCCCCATACTGTCTGTGAAGAGATAACTTCCTCATATCCCGTGAAAAATGCATTGCAAAGTGAACCAGAAGCTTATTGGAAGATACCCACTTGATCAGACTAGCCTTGTATGTTACAGTCTTAGTACAAAATTCAGTTTCCACTGACAGTGCTGAGGGATATAATTGGTGTTGCACTGTAAGCAAAAAAATAAATAAAAAATACCTGCAATAAACCTGAACCTGACTACCAGGATGAATGGATCTCACAGAGATGTAGCCTCAACAGCTTCGGCTGACATGGAACAAGGACTGTAGATTTTGTCCCATGTCTTACAGCTGAGTCAAGCTGGAAAGGGATCTCTTCACAGCCAGTCTGAACAGGTGAAATGATTACAGACACCAATAACACTTTCAATCTACATAAAGCACAAGGAGTGTTTTGGAGTGTTTCCTCTGCTCATGTGTTCACACTGCAAGCAATGCTGTCAACAAGTCCTGTGCCACTGACGAGTGAATCTTGGCCTGTGTGTGCCCGGGCAAAACAAACTGATTAACGTTGGATAATCAGCACCTGATCTCAGATGTTGTCTCATTTCCTTTACTGATGTTTTTGTCAACATCAAACCAGACCGACATCTAGCGCTGAAAAGCATGCATGTCAAATAACAAATGAATACAGGTTGAGCCCAGGGTTTATCGGTTTATTTTCAACAAAAGCTACTTAGTCAGCCAATGCCATTTTAGGTATTTTCAGTATCAAGAAACCAAAATAAAAGCAGTGAAAAGGCTCGATTTGTCTTCTGTCTACATCGCTGTAGAGAAGCAAGCAAAGCCTTTGGTAGGCCCACTCATTCAGACAGAACAGAGCGACTGAGTTACTTGCAGCGTGAACACAGGCTTGCTAGCCTCCATTAAAACCCCCCCCCCCAACCCCAGGTGGATCTAGCTAAAGCACAGAATGGTTTGGTTTATATCTTGACAGGTTAATCACATCAGCCAGAGAGTCAGCAACCCAACGAACAGCAGTTTCCAAATAAACAATGCAGCCTACACTCTGCAAGTCAGTTTCAGCAAAAATGAGAAAACACAACATAGGATATAAAGGTAGATGTCAATGAAACTGACATTTGTCTAACAGCTTCTTATCTGATAAACAGATTTACTGTTAATTCAACAGCACTATTAGAACATAAAGCTAAGCAGGATTTATTTGTATAATACACAGGGCTCACTGTATTCAGAATGGCAAGCTGCTGATGTTTTATGTGGCCTGGTTGTAGAGGCGGCTGAGGTTCAGTCTGAAAGAGCTTCACCCTGACCAGACGAGGAGACGAGGCACGTGACTCGCAAAGCCTTGCTGATGTGCCACTACCTTAAATGTTTAAAAAAAGTTTCATCTTTCCTTCCTCCGGAACTCAACTACCTTTCCACTGCAATAGGTCACCCCACTTTTCCCATTCTGAGGTCCCTTTGTCTGGCCCAAACCTGCCTGGACTTCAAAGCCAAAGTGAGATCCAGGCCTTCACCTTGCAGATCCCCGCCAGATAGTCTTTCCCAGGTCAAGAGTATTAAAAACTTCCTAGATTTCTGTTTAGGCTTGTGGGTCAAAGAGGAACAACAGTCAAGAATGCTGCAATAGCTTCTTCTTTTGTTCATTTCAAGTTTGAGGTTTGAGCCATGAAACTAACCTCCTATATCCAAAAGCAACAATGGCTGGTTTATCTCAACATCAAGCAAGCATTTGGGCAGCCAACTTGAGTTTTAGAATCAAACATGACATCAAAATGACAGCTGGTTATAGCTACAAAAGTAGAACAAATACACAGCTCCAGGCCAAACTTGCCAGCATTTGACTAGCAATACCCATACAACAGAAGCTTGATTCCAATCCTGAACCCTGAACTCACTAAAGCCTTGAACTTAGGCATTGTATTATCTTCTGTCATTTTGTTCCTCCACCGCAACAAAACAAAAAAAAGGTCCCTTTGTCTTCAGCTCCAGGTCTGGCTTTGGAGTCCAGAACTGTCCAGGAAGTCAGGGCTGAGAGCTGCCCTGGCTGTCGGGGTCCGTCCCCGAGGAGCTGGTGTCCGACTCTGAATCGTCGTTGTGGTCGTCCTCCGCCAGGCTTTTCTCCCGTATCCGCCTGTGGGTGGCGCTGAGGCGAGCCAGCAGGCCCTGGTAGTCAAAACGACCACGCTTCTCGCCAAATGGGTCCTGGGTGGAGGGACAGAAAAGAAGCAAACTAAGTTTGGGAATGTAGGGGAGAGCAGGGTGATTTGAGCCTGTGGGGAAGTTGAGCCTCCCCTTGTTTCTCGGCAACCATAGAAATGTGACCACACATTTTTGAAGAGTCATCCATTATACTCACCCTGTGATGAGCACATTTAAGATCAAAAAACTGTTTTTTGCCATTCAAAGTGATTTTTTATGTTCAAAGAGTCCTAATTCTTGTGTCTGACCAATTACAGACAGCTTTGAGAAAATCTTACGCATGTGTTACTGCTTTAGGAAGTTACAATATGAGGCTATACTGTTAGCATGACGTTACCTTTAAACAGCTGGATGACACAAATTTGTTAAAATGGCAAGGATGGGGTAATGTGATCCAGAAGATCTGGGGGATGTTGAGCCAGATATTTTACTATAATTTTACACTGCATTCTTTTGCATCACTGAAATGATGTGACATTATGCATTTTAGACCAGAAACCATGATGTCATGATTCTATAAATAGATCACAGACAGGCTTCAACTCTTCTTTTGGATTTGGACAGGGCAGTGGGAGAAGTACAAAAATTGGAAGTCCGTTCATCAGGTGGCACGGGACATGATGACTTTAAAACTTCAGTAATAGAGTCCCAAATAGCCACCTACCTCATTCACTGGCCTGGTGTGGGAACACATTTTGACAAATAAACACCTGCCTTAATTAAACGCCTGGCCTGGTTTTTATAGAAGTTCTCTGGATGTATAAAACCTCTTAAACCCCACGGGGTTGCCAGCTTTACCTGCTTCTAAGCTGCTTAGATTGTTAATACAAATATTAATGTTTAAACGTGTGATCAATGTGTCAATATGGACATGCTGAACATCCTTAGATCGGTTAGATTCTCCACAATACCACTGTTAAGTTCATTTAACGGAAACAACAAGACCCAAAGTCTAATTCTTCTAGATTTACCGGTTTAACCTGCATGGCTACAAGAGAGGAAAAGCTCGTTAAGTCCGAATGTGTCCGTTCCTTGATTATTTAATATATTCCTTTAGTCTGTAAGGGTCCACCCATCAAAAGAATCAAAACAGCTTTTCAGAAAAATTTATCCAAGTTGTGAATCCTGTTATGTGAATCCATCGCTCTCTGTCTGCTAACTTCTCTCATCCTGCACCATGTTGTTGTTTTCGTGAGGTTGCTGCCTTCAAAATAAAAGCCATAAGCCGTCTGTCAAAGCTAGATCAAATGAATGACGTGTATTTGATAATTTTTACACAAGTAATATTCTGTTTGAAATAAATAAACTGTTTCATAGTAGTTTCAGTTTTGTGCAAAAAGAATTAAAGGGCTGTCCCATATGGACGCCTGTCCCAAATACAGGCAGGGTCAATTCAGTGATTTTAGCAAATAAAAGCCCAGGCTATTATTCAAAGTTTTACGGTACATATTTTAGTTGGAAACATTACTGTCTTGTCCTCACTTTAAAGACACATGTAAAGACTGGCTCAACTCACCCTGCTCTCCCCTACAGTATGTCACTCAGAAATAGAGCTTGTCCTGATGATCGTGCTACTGTAGGGGTGTAAGATAAGGCCACTCATCTCATTTCATTTTCTGTGTTATGTAGTTTTAAACCGCCACTCTTCATTCTCTTTTAAAAAAATGATTCAAAAACTTTGCATTGAAGTTTTGTTTAATACATATAACTATATACAGCGCACTGTGTTTTGCACTGGTGATTATTACTGTCACACAACACACTTACACTGTGTGCAATCAGAGATGGTTCAGAGCATCTTTGGTGTGATTGGACACCGTGGATTACAAAGAGGAGGAAGAGAGAGAAAATAACGAGGGTGCAGAGACAGGTCAGAGAATGCGACAGAAAGTGTTCACAAAAACTTTGTATAGTATGTCTACTGTAAAACTGAACTAGCCTACCACAATAGCATGACGTCTATACTTCAGAATCTCAGCAAAAAGCAGAACGTAACAGACAATGCGTGCAGTCCAGAGTGGACCGACATATAAAAGCTAGTAAAGGATGTAGGCTAAGTTAATTACGGCTATATGTAACGGCTAGTTTACAATGTAAATCAATGTGGTGATGACGTCCCTATGTTAGCTAGGTTTTGTTCAAGATATTAACCACAGAAAATGCTGCAGTCAATTGTGAAAGCCTGAGCTTCATTCATGTTTTCCTGTCCACTTGTTTTTGCCTCTTACAAATGTCACAAAGAGGACAGTAAAGGCTTATGTTATGCCTGAGCTGTGTTCAGGACGAAAGATATTACATTTCAGAATGTAATATGGCACTTAAATGCACAAGAGATTTATTATTGATTTATTATATTATTGTATGCAACTTCTGCAATAAAAATGAAGATCGTTTTAAAAAGGAAACAAATTAATTTTAAGAGACCCGTCTTATTTTCCCTATTGCATCTTTACGATTGTTCTTTAATAAAGCCAAAGTAATTGTTCTCAGATTACTCAATTAATCAATGGGATAATCAGTTGAATACTCGAGTACTAAAATAATCGATAGCCGTAGCCTCACAGTGCAATCTAAAGACCATGGTACTGAAAAGGTGTGCACGCTTACTGTTTTTAAAATTTATATATATATATTTTTTTTTAAACACACACTTACTGTTTTTTTATTTATTTTAATTTTTTTAACACACACACACACACACACACAGTTTTATTTATTTTATTTTTTTGTTACACACACACACACACACACACACACACACACACACTAACTGTTTTAAATCTAAGTGTTAGTATAAAAAAGATTTGCATTTCATCCCTATGGTGCATTGGAAAATCTTTGCATCATGAATATTAATCTCCGAATTGCCTTACAATTTCACAAACCACATACTGACATTAAGCTACAAAGTGAAAAATTCAAGGCACAAATGAAGGGAAAATGGATTAAAATAAATAAGAATATAGTCACCTGCATGTTCTGTCCCTGTAGATGGAGTCTCTCTTTGCAGACTCCCTCATAGAAATCATAGTATTCTAGGAAGGACTTTTCCATCACACTCCTAAAAACAAAACATGCATACGACAATCAGCTGATGAGCAGAAAGAAGGAAAGAGAGTGAACGAAGAGGAGTAAGGAAATGAGGAAAGGAGCACAGAGAAGAAAGATTAGTCAATTATGTCGGTCTCACCACAGAGCTTCAGGACAGGGGACTTTGCCCTCCAGCATGTCACACACAGCCACCCTCATGGTTTCATGGCGGATGCACTCGTTGTAGTTCTTACTGTCCCCTGGGTGGCGTTCCTGAGGGACACACAGACAGACCAAAACTGTATAGAAACTTGAATGAAAGTGCATTAAAACAAACAAATATAAGACTACAGTTGCAACCTATTCCACTGCAAAGCCTTGCTGTCTTCCATTAAACATGCGTAGGAGAAGTATAACTGGTTGGGAAAAACACTTCTTAAACCTTGTAGTTTTTATGTTCTGCTGACCAGTAAAAGTAGAGATATGGATCTCTCCCCATTCATTCATTCAGATAGGAGCCTGGTCTTGTTAGTCCGAAATAACTGTCCCAAGGCGTTGCCACGATGCGGCAGTGGCAGGACTTGCCTCTAAATACTTTGGCTTTGCTGGATTTTTCCACCCACTATTCTGTTTTCACAGCAGGTAATGATAATAGTTGCGTATTTTAAAATGAGTCTAATTACAGCATACATCAACACTGAGTAATATGCAGTAAGTTAATCACTGGCAAATATATTTTTCATCAGTGATTTTCTCATTTGTTTCCTAATACAAAGACTACTGCTCCTGCTGTTTTGTCCCGGTAATAAACTTGTTCCTCACTAGATGTAAATTCAAAGCCTTCCAACTTTTTGAGAAAGAAGTGTAAAGCTGATGATACACAGAGCAACTTTTAGAACAATGGTGTTGGCCAATGTTGCCGTCAAGGGTATTGAATAAAGATTACTGTAATCCCCTTCCCCCAATGCCCAGAAACATTGCTCAAAAAGTTGCCCCTGTATATCGTCAACTTAAGGTGAGGTCAACCAACACACACCCAGGCAGACAGACGGACGGAGGGAGTACCTGTTCAAAGCCAGGTTCGTTGTGATAGGGGTTCTCCGTCATCAGAGACTGAATGGAGATGAGGACAGATGAGATACTCTGGGCTGGACTCCATGCTGGGCCTGTCCATGTCCTGCACACACACGCATAGGTTATGGAACCATTTAGAAGTTTACAGTGTATTAAGTCCAAGTTGTAAGACAGAAACACACCGTGACCAGCCATCCTCAGTGGATTCAAATACAAACGATGAAAGGAATGAAGCCCGACTCACCCCAGGATGCTGAGGCAGACCTTGCCGTTGCGGTAAAAGTTGGGGTTGAAGCGGACGGTGTTGTGTCCGGTGGTGATGAGCTTGACCCGCGGCGGGTGGATGGGGTAGTCGGGAGGGCAGCGGAACAGGAAGAGGAAGAAGCCGCCCTCGTACGGTGTGTCAAATGGGCCTGTGATCAGGGCATGGATCTGTAAATGAAAGAAAAATGTGTGTCAAGAGGCAGAGACGTTTGTGGACAAGAGGAAGGAGGGATGTCGTGGGGGAAAACAGAAGCAAAAACAAGATGGTTTAGGGAAACCATGAGGTGTACATAGAGAGGGATGCTGGGGATGAATAGACCATGGAGCAGAGAATCTGACTTTGAAAACAAAACAACAGACAACGCCTACATCAGCCTCTGCTGTGAGGAGGAAATGTACAAATGTGAAGAACATTATGTTTCACTGATTCCATGACACCCCCATTGAGCCAAAAACACCCTGATCCTGCCCAATATGCACGCAAATTCCCTGCAAATTCCCAACAATCTATGAATAATTGAACCATCTGTATTAACTAGAACAACATTTTTTGTGTTAATACTTGACAGCTGCACCAGACTTCCTTTTTTCCAGCATCCAAGTTCATTCTTGGCCTTGAAAAGCTTGGCAAAAATAATCTTAACCCAACACGCACTTTTCCTAGACCTTTCACCCGCAGTAAAGGGTCTTCATCACCAGATCACGTTTCCTCAGTTGTCATGGAGACAGTTAAGTTACGTGACTGGAGTTTGACAACTGAGCCATCTCTGTAACACCTGGGCAAACTCCATTTTCCAACAAAGACATAAACGTGCAACTGAGAGCACTGGAAAAAAAGCTAACAAGTTGACTGTTAAGAAACATTTTTGCTATATTTGTTGAAATTATCTTTACACACCAACATCAATCTATAAATCAAATTCTCTGACAAAAGCATTTAAAATATGGGTCTCTGTGGCGGTCGCAGGACCGTAATAAGCAAAGACTAGTGGATGGCAGTGGCTTTGGAGGGGGAGGGATTTTTTCAGTTGGATACTTTTAAACTCTAGCTGCCTCTTGCTGGTTTCTCCATCATTGCTAGCTTTAACATGATTTTGTTCAAAATAAAATTTTAATTAATTTTTCCTTCTATAAAATGTTACAAAAAGTTCATATTTTATAGATAGTGTATGTTGTGTGCCACAAACACTGACAGAAAGAGATTTATAGTTTAAAATTATCTCAAATAATACAGCAGAAATCAAATACTCCACATGTCTTTACTTGATTATTCTTTCTCTGGAAACATAACACACATATTTGGGTTTAATCAGTTCACTTAAAAATAATCAGTTTCTTATTTTTTGGCCATATTGCCCTGCCCCAAACTATAATAAACCAAAATGAGGATATTCAGTCTGAAGCAGAATAGAATGCAGCATCAGGTGGTCATAGACCCCAATTACACTTTGTTAGGTTAAGCTTCCCGGCCAGATGGGATAGCTCTCAAATATTAGCTTAAAAAGCTAAGTAAATGCATTCTAGCTCGCCTAGATGTTGTAAATATATAAATGTATCTGTCTTTAAGACGCATACATGTAATCTTTACTCCTCCTGGGTGTATATCCAAGTCTATGTCAGTAATGTCAGTAAGAGGTCTGCAGAAGTAGCTAGAACAGTGTCTGTGTCCTGTGATTACAGCAGCTGAAAGTACACTACCATTCTCCCAATTTCATTAAACACAATCACACTGAAAGTGATCACACTGAACTGTTTATCTGATCACTGATCAGTTCAACCGCTGAATGATCCGTAGGAATGAGAGAGCAGTGTAAGTGAGAGTCTGTGAAGACAAAACATGTTTGTCTCATAGTACATCAATTCATTTCATCCACGTATTTTGAGTTAGTTCATGGCTACTTCTTGTTGTGCACCAGTTATTCTTCTTCTGGTGTTTTTAACTGCTACCAAGCAACTTCAGGTGCAATACCACCACCTTTTGGACTGGAACAGAGCAGAACGTGATTCACATGTAGCCTTGGAAAACCAAGTCGCAATTACAATCAGATTTGGGATCTGGGCAAGGGAGAAGTATGTGTTTATGTTCTATGTTTTTCCTGCATTAAATCTCATCTAGATTTTATCTGGACACGAGACACTTGAAAAGACAAGTGTAAATGGGGTCTCAGCGTGAATGCCTTTCCACACTGAACCTGCCGTTTTACCTTGGTCATGTCTTGAGGATCAGGGACGACAAACATCCCCGGTGGAGGTTCCTTGTAGATGGACATGATATCCCTGCAGGGAGACAGAGAGAGGGAAACAGATGAGGTTCCTCAAAGGACAAAGTTAAAGCAGAGATGGAGAAAAATCACACAGCGATATCTGTCCCTGGCCTGGCCACAATCTTGCGTCAACAATTTCCATAGGGACTATTTCTTTGGTAGAAAGTCGTTCCAATAAAAACTAGCTGCACTGCTGTGACGCTGATTCTGCAAACACAACATGCTGTCGAGGTTTCACCACAATTCCACTGACCTCCACTGTATGAGTTAGCAGCAGAAATCTCAGACTGATGCCTCAAAACCGGAGCAGCAGGGACATTAAAACTACTACTACCTGGTACCACAAGAGGTAAGCAGAATGTCTTTGGTAATTTAGGTGAACTGACCTTTTAATGTGTTAGTATTGTTTAAATAGGAAGCAAAATGGCAACTGTAAAAGACAACAATTAAAATGTGTAAAAAACTAAATAGGTGATCCTTACATACTACTTTAACATGAGTTCTGTGTATTATTGCCTAAATTAAAGTAAATGCTTAAGTTTCCAGAAACCTACCCTTCATTTGTAAAGGTTTCACTGATGGCAGAAACTTAAAGTACAGCTTTCACTTTCGATTTTACTCACCGTACTAAGATTTTAGGCCTTAACATACCTGAAAACATACAACAGTGACCACACAGACATGTCCTCAAACTGGTTTGCAGCTTGGAAACGTTTTTATTAACGTTACCTCTTTATCCTCAGGATGCACTGCTGAGAAGCCTTCTCGTTGTCCCAGTCCGTGCTTAGGGTCGGGTCCCAGGAAGTAGCGTGGATTTGGGACAACAGGCCCGCTCCTGCCACCCCGCCGACCCCTAACCCAACACCGGTGAGAGGCGAGGAGGCGTGTACGGTCTGAGACACGGCCACGACGGGGGGCGATGAGCCGGGGGTGAACGTGTTCCCAAAACTGGCTGGGGTAGCAGTGACAGCGGACAGAGGCGCCACCAAAGCGGTTAGGCCACTCTGCGCGGCCGCGGCGGGGGCAGGGGACGCAGGGTTGGAGCTGGAGAGAGTACCGCTGGCTGCAGAGTGGCCCCCCGGCAGAGAGTTAGCCAAAGTCGGCAGTCCGGTAACGCCTAAGCCAAGGGCACCGCCGCTGGACTGCTCTCCGAAGCTGTCCGCCATGGCTCGCAAGCTAGATCAAAACCGTTGGTGTTAATTTATAATGCTAACTGTTAGCCGCATTGACAGCTGAGTGCGAAGTTACCTTTGCTTGTTTTGTCCACTGGGATCAGAGAGCAGAAAAACCGGTTAGAGACGAGGCCAGAAAACAAGGCATTTCTTCCCACGACATGGTGGCTACTTATCGTTAGCTTAATGTTGTGTTTTTCCTCGGGCCTCCAAAAAGTATTAAGTCGGTAGCAAAATTACGTCGTTCACTTAACTACGGTTTCTGAAGGTTGTTCAGTTCGGTTGTTGTCGGTTTTTAAAGGAGTGTGGGATGGTATCCGATTATTTTGGTTTTAAAACGACCACATCCCCACTAGTCCATCTCCATAACGCAACTTAGGATCTGATTTCTCACCAGTCAAGTTCCTCTGAATTGAAACAACACGGGATATCCGGTGGGAACTTTCAAAGTAAAATTCCTCTGACTTTGCGAGTTGCAGGTTGCAATAAGCACTACTGAAAGTGGTATGTTGAAAATTAAAGTGGTTAATTATTACATCAAATAATAAGTGGAAATATATTTGATGACTCCAGTTAAGTCCCTGTTGTATAAAAGTCCAAGCCGCCCATCCTGCTGATTTACAAAAGTCAAAAATGTCTTATGAAAAAGGCAGTACCATATGCTTATATCGATGTAGTTCATTATATTCCTTTTAAGTTTGTTAACAACAGGTATCTTAAGAAAACTTGCTATGGAGGTCTTGAGGAGTCTAAACCAGTGATCTTCAATACATGTTGGGTACATAATGCTAAAAGACTGAGGCTAAAGCTCCCAGGCATAACATCAGCATCCTCACCAGTTGTTGATCCATGTAAAGGACTTGTAAGAGAGCAGCACTGTTTGTGTATTTCAGTGTAGAGCTAGCAAGTTATTAAAACAAATGTAAAAATAATGTTAACATTCTAACATAAGCCATGAATTGCTTGGATGCTTATTACAGAAAAACGTCTGGGGTTAGATTTGGGCTAAGCATTATTGTTTGTATTTAAACAGTTTGCTTCACTTTTACAATAGAAAATTATTTGAGGAAATGAGTAATAAGACGTAGTAGAAGTAGTAGAGCAAAAATACATTTAGAAGAATAAATTACATACCCAGTAAGCTCCTGTTACCATCTGGTGCGTTTATTTTGAAAATCCAGCCTTGCGTGTGGCCCAGTGTAAGCTCCAATTACCATCTGGGGCCTTTATTTTTGAATTATTTAAATATATATTTTTAGGGCATCACGAAATGGTTTGAGTTCCAGGGCTGAGAAAGAAAGTTATAAGCAACATTGTTAACACTGTTACATTACAGAGAAATACAAAATGGGAGAACAGCTATAGCTTGTTATGACTGTGTAATTAGAGTACGGACAGTGAATATTTTATAATGCAGCCAATAACGTTATGACCATTATTTCGTCACCGTGGCACCTCACAGTAGGTTGGACATATTAGGCAGCAACTGAATATTTTGTCTTCAAAGTTGATGTGTTAAAGTGGGAAAAATGGGCAACCGTAATGATTTGAGCACGCTAACAAAAAGGGCCAAATTGTGATGTCAGACGACTGGGTCAGAGCATCTCCAAACTGCAGTGGTTAGTAGGCCTACCTGTTAAAAGCGTTAAAAAAAATAAAAAATAAAATCCAAAGTCAGTCGCAGGTTTTATAGACCAAAATGTTAATGCTGCTTTCATAGTAGTACGTTACCTTCTTATGTAAGGAACTACCAACTGCTGTTGTGACAAACATGTTAAGGTGAAATATGAAAATTTTTAGTCTCACCCAGTACGTTAATACATCATCACGTCATATTTAGCCAACATATCTCAGATTTGTCTGATGATTGAATATAGGGCCATGTGTAAAAAATGCTGCATGTCATGTTACAATAATAAGCAGTCCGATTTGTACAATTTTTAACAGGGGATGGCCACATGGGAGCACCACACTACACCTTGCTACTTCTCACTTTGATCATGAAGGAGACATGAGTATATAGGCTGAAAAAAAAAAATATATATATATAACAGGGGTATTTATAGTATTTCACAGAATATTATAGATCAAGAGGAAACTGACCATGTAGCACCCACAAAGCTTTCCCCATTTTATACATTTAAAATCTTTTTTTAGACTGTTTATCAAAAAAAGGCAATCTGAAGACATCGAAAACTCTGGGAAGTTGTGCTTTGACCTTTTCTGGGCTAAACCGTAAACCAAGAAAATAAAGAACACACTAAACGACAATAAAGTAGTTGTAGCCCTAATACCAGTCAAGTTTTATGACTCTACAAAATTGTTTCATAGTAAACTGAAGTAACGTCACTTGTACTCAACAGGCCAAAACAGCCAAAACCGTGGTGTGGTCACAAAGTGTGGTCCTTTAAACCCAGTTAAAATGAATAAAATACACTGGAAAATTTGTAAGATCTCAAACCTTTCTAAATTCAAGTGCCCATGTGAAACCCTTTATCACAAGTGGGGTTAACAATACACTTGAGCTGACATTCTGGTACTCTTCACATCTGCTATACTTGCCATGGTCAATCATAATACATCGATCGGTTTTCAAGAATACAAAACAGGGAGGTCTAAGTGGGGAACCTTTGATCTAGAAGACGACACTGAACACTACCTACTGTCAACTTTGGTCATCATTTATAAGGTAACACCCAAATGACATTTGAAATAGCTACCTGTATGTGAGCAGTTACATTTTCTTAGCAAAAAACCAAACACGATTAAAACACTGCAGACCATTTTCAGTTATCCCAACCATTTATTTTGGACAGATTTCAACCGAAGTGAGGTCTTACATAAAACTTCTGAAAAACAAAAATAGCACAGGAACATAAAACTGTAGGGTTGGAGGTTTGTTACCCTCAGACTTTTTCCCGTTGATTGAATAGCCTACCAGCACATTCGGGGTTCCCCCTTTGGATGGAAGTAAGGGAGCAAAAAGAAAAAGGAGGCAGGGAAGAAAGGGTAGGTGAAGGGAGTTGTAGGCGTGTTTCCAGATTTACATGGCGAACAGGATGAGGAACGCCACCATCAGACAGAAGAGACCCATAGCCTCAGACAGAGCAAAGCCCAGGATGGCGTAGGAAAAGAGCTGCTGCTTCAGAGAGGGGTTCCTGTGGAGGACAACCAAAAATGTCAGACTTCTGAATGCAAAATCCAAAACATAAGTTTCATGTGATCAGGGTCCAACATTTACTTTGTTGTCTACCAGCCAATGGCTGGATAACTAGAGTTTTCCATGGGTATCAGGTAATGTTTCATATGAAGACATTTCATGGTTCCAGCTTGACAAATGTGAAAATTTAGAACTTTAGTCATTTTCCGGATTATACTACACAATATGCTATACAAAGTTTTACTCAACATTTCCAATATAGGACTTTTAAAAAAAAAAACCAAACATGTGGTCTAGTACTTTTACTGAAGGATTTGAGTACTTCCTCACCACCGCCCTTCACTGTCTCAGTTATATAGTATATACAGTGTTACTGGCCGAGACTCCCTGTTTTAAGGTAGCCTTGTTTGTAACCTGTATGCGAGGCAGACCAGCAGGTTTGCTGTGGAAGAGCATCTGTGTGATATCTACCAGCATGCTGCTGCAGTCACAGAAACGCGACTGCTACAAGACGCGGTCAGTTACCTTATGTGCTTTAGTGGGGAGTTTGTGGTGAAGTGTAGTGAGGTCATTCATTCATTACTATGGATATGCTTCTGCCCATTAAATGTTACATATTATAAACATGTTATGTTGTTGGTGCTGTTGATAAAAATTATTCATACTTCACCTGGCATAACCAATGATGAGGCTGCCGAACACTGTTCCGATTCCTGCTCCTGAGCCGGCCACACCCACTGTGGCAGCACCAGCACCAATGAATTTGGCGGCAGTGTCAATGTCCCGGGAGACAGCGCTGGTCTGAAAGGAGCGGGTCAGGATTGCAGACCGACTGACTGGCAACAGGGCCTGGAAGGGGAACATACAGTACATTTCACTACTGTGTCAGCAAATAGCTTCAATTATATCTTATTATGCATTGATCTATCAAAGTGTATCCACTGAGTTGGGGGGGGGGGGGGGGGCCACATAACAAAATTGTGAAATATGTGTCATTGAACAAGAAGGTAAAGGGGGCAAAAAAACACAATACAAAAAGGTGGAGCAGGAAACTTAAGTACCCATCTACTGAGCATCAGTGAGGTGCCTGCAGAGCTCAAAGGATATTAAAGGACAGTACCACCCAGTCACAGCCTGTTCACCCTGCGGCTGTCTGGAAAGAGATCCAGAAGTATCTGCTGTCACATCACACAGCTTCTTCCCTCAGGCTTTGTTCTATTACTTATTTTGCCACCTGTCTGGTTTATATAATTTTGAATGTAATGTTTGTTTTTGTGAGCGCTTGCTCATGGTGGGAAGTGTTGGGTCTCTGTTATTACAAAAAGTATACATCAGTTGTCTTGTTCAGTTACCTCAGTTGGACATACAGTAAGATTTAGCTACACATTTATACTGAGGTAGCTAACAAAAAAAAAATCCAACCACCAGCTTGTAACAAATATCCATCTCCAAATGTAAATCAACATTGCAATTAAGTGATACACTGACAGATTTGATCAATATAGGCTATCCATGTTGGCAACAAGGCAGTAGCCATTTAGAACAACTGGGTGTAGGATCACTGACAGTCAAAGGACTGACCTGCTGCTCCACTGTGGCTTCAGGTCTGTTAAAGAGGGAGACTGAGACTGGCCGGGCGAGGACTCTGGACCCCCCACGCAGCTACAGACAAGAGAAAAAACTATTAGTTCACTTCCACAAATGGAATGTGGAACCCATCAATACATTTTCTACTGCAAAGACCAAACTACCCATCTCCAAGTTTCCCCTTTCACTGCATACCAAAGTTAACTGGAACGGACAGGATTACTACATTGTAGTGGAGTTTTTGGAAAAGAATCAGGGGCAATGTAAGGTATACAAAGGCCTAAAAAACCAAGACAGTACAAGATGTCAGCTGAAATTAAGGAAGTGCATTCAAATAATTTTCTCAAAGAAAGAAAGTTGTGAATAGCAAACCAAATTAAATAGAAATCTAGTAAAACATTACTTGTATCTAAGAAAAAAAAAAGAGACTAAAAGTTAAGACTATTCTGTCAAACTAGTGACCAGAGTAAAAAAAACCTGACATTGTTCTTTATTAATCTGATTAATACAATTCAAGTGCCAAATTATCCACTATGCAATTTCAATGCTAAAGTTTCACACCCCACAGGTGCATGCAGCTACATATACACAGATATTTTGTTGGTTTCTACTATGGCATCTAATCCCTAATCTGGTTATAATTGGCCCATTGCAGGCAATTT